ATTGGTTATTTGTCAGTATTCTGATCAGTAAGTTGGCCAATTTCATTGTTGATATATTTTATAAAAAAATATAGATCATCTACTAAGAAGATATAGGGCATTTTTTTTGTTCTTAACTGAATATGAAAAGTAAGGCAAGACGGCTGAACTCTAGGCTTGCATTAGTACGTTTGCTCAAGAGACCATTCCACTAAATCCTCCTGGTGGAGACAAAAGATATATTTTATTTCCCAGACAGTTTATAGCAGGAAAACAGGAAAAACCCTGCTCTGGAAAAGGGATGTTTTTGCCAGTATACCTCCATCTACACTAGGCCTTTATTGGAACAGTTATGTCAGTCAGGGTGTGACAAAACCATATTTATGTGGTAAATAGAGCTTTCAAGAAGCAGGAATAAGCTTCCAAAAGAAACTTTCAAAGAGGTCTATAGTCCTAATCCTTGCTTGACAGGCACGGTGTGCATTTCTAATGAAGAAAACTAAAGCATAAAAAAAAGTGTGTGATATTATAAAAAGTTCTACATAATAATTATTAAGAGACAATATTCAAAAGCGCAGCAGCGAATGACTCTTTCACGCATAGGAAAGGCAGAAAATAGTTTAAGACTCATTCAGCTCCAGGGAGGTGTTATCTATCAACTTAAAAATCTCAAATTAATTGACCCTAAAAGTGAAAGTACGAGCACATGGCTAAGCTAGTAATATTGGATGAGTGTTAAAGATATGAGAACTGGATGGCAATACAAACTGAATTGACACCCACAAGAGACATAGGAGGCAATACGAAGAGGTTCTATAAATACAGCAGAAAGAAAAGACACATAAATGAAAGCAGAGAACAATTAGCAATAAGGAAATAATGACGAAAGACAAAACCAACGAGGCTGAATTCAATTTCTTCCTCACTTATATTCCCCCTACCCCAAAGGGTTAACTGTAAGTATAGAGCAAGGAACAGGACCAGGAAAAGAATAGGCCTATCATTTAATCCTCATTCATTTAGTAAGTCATAATATATTAAACAGTTTAAGAAAACATTAGAAATAATGCATGAGTGGACAATATAGATAGCAGCTAAACCAAACAGGAATTGTTTGGTATAGCAGCAAACCTCAGTTGTGGTGACAGGAAATATCAAAACCCCTCAGAAATTAGAAAGGACAGATTAGTACAAAAATCAACTAAAACTTTCCTTAATCAAGGTCAGAAAACCAGCTTCCTCATGAGTAGCTAATGCAGAATGAGATAATCTTACATGAAAAATGAGAAAACTGTCTAACAAAGAGGTCGTCTTATTTTACACAGGCTAAGATTATTTATCTTATACAGCTTTAGAAAATTTTATGCTGGCAGTAAGATTAAAAGGAATGATTTTAGTCTGAGACAGGATTGCTTTCACACTGAGCTTGCATTCATGCTGAGCTTCATCTGTGTATCTAATCTCCCATAAGAGTCAGTGGAGACCCTGTTCAATTCACAGGATCCTTGCCTGGACACAGGTGCCTGCTGCCAGTGGAGATGTCCTAGAGTTTCCCACCACTTCCAGTTGCTGGACTGGAAGGGCATAGACCCCTAGAGGTCCTGTGTGATATCTGCCACACCATACAAATATCCTGGCCTGTCAAAAAAGCACGTGTTGCCTATCAACTCTACATCCCCTATCAGTGGAGGACAAGTCCCCTGCTCATGTGTAGACACATATAACAAAGACAGCATATTTAGGTGTCAATCCAGAGTTGGGTACTGCCCTTCATCTCTGAACTTAGGTAAAACTGGTATGCCATTCTTCTTTAAGTGACTACCTGCTAGTGATCCTAGCGTTTTTGTGTAAATTGGTTCTATTTTTTTCTTTTAGTTTTGTTTTCTCTCTCATTATCCTTTTTAACTATGGATTTCATGTCACTTTCGTGTATTATTTCTTCATGCCTTAACTGTATTTCACTGTTTTCTGCTCACACACAGTCTTATCTATTTATGATTTAAGGCAAAATTCTGTTTGCATACAAGTTTGAGAGCACAGTTTCTACAGGGAAGATTCCTCGAAGTCTTATTTCCTGTTCATGAAGATTAACATGTAAAATAATGTTTAGATAAACTGGGTAAATTTGCATTAGCCAGACTCAGATAATCCAGATCTGACATATAGCTGACTACCAAAATCTCCTGAGTAATACAGAAAATCCCAGCAGAAAGGAAAAAGGCAAACATAGTTGTTATCTACAAAAAGGAAAGGAAAAGACAGGGCTTACAGACAAACAAACCTAACCTGAAAACATTACAGGATAAATTATTCTTAAGTGCAGAAGCATACAAAAGAACACAAGTTTGTCATGAACAAACAGTATCAAACAAAAATATTTTTATTTTCTGACAAGATAAACAAGCCTGGAATATTAGAGGAATGCAACAAATGGATATACCTTGACCTTTATGTGGCCTTTGACATTGTTCTGCCTGACGTTCTTCAAAATCTAACCATGGAAATATAATTTTGATTAAATCACTTGTAGAGATGGTTGCAGAACCAGGTTCATGTGAAGCAGTTTTGTGCTGGGTACATGGTCTTCCAGTAATTTCATTAATGAAGTCAATGATTTCAAAAAACCCACAAAACAACAGAACACTTTTAAAATAAAATTGTAATCTGGGGAGGATGCAAGCATTTACAAACCTAAATGGCCTCAATAAAATTAATAAATGGTATGAAATCAGTGAAGTGTGTGCAAAGTACGCTACCACGGAAGAAAAAAGAAATTTACAGTTAGAAAACAAGTCCATCTGGTTAAGAAGCTGCACAGCAGAAAAGGATCTGCTAGGACCACAGACTGAACAACAGTTGGCAGCCTAGACAAAAACATACAAATGTCTGTCTGGAGTACAGAATTCCAATCTGCCCAGTATTCAGAGCCTCAGTTAGAGCAGCCACACCAGTATGGGACATCAAACTTTAAAAATCATGCACCAAGTTAGAAAGACTTCAGAAAAGAAAGACAAGCGGATAAAATGCTCAGAAAAAATATTCTATCAAACTATTCAAATCTGTGGTGTCCATCTACACCACTAGAAAGCCACCAGTTCAACAGCAACTGATAAAACCCTTACATTCACGTGCAACCCAGATACAAAAAGGATGAAAACTGTAAACCATACAGAAATTCATTGACTGCTACAAAAAGCAGTAGCTTACAAAACATAGAGTTTCGAACCTCTCAAAGAGGCTTTCTGAGCTAACCTCTGGAACACATCTCCTTCCACTTGTAATTCTTCCCTTGCTAGATGTGCCTGCCAGTACAAGATCAACATCTGAAGTCCAGCAGACCACCTACATCTCCCTGAACAACATGTAAGCTTTTATCAGCGTAGTTTCTTCCAGAGGAGTTGTATTTCTACTAGATTTTGTCAGTCTTCTGGGCTGGGGAGGTAGGGGCAGGACTTCCGCTTGCATGTGATTTTGTTTATACACATAGCTCTAGTTGAAGGGGTTACACCAGCATTACCCTGAAGAAGAGACCATGGCTGTGATCAGGCAAACAGCAGAAATGGCTGTAAATTGCTTTCAACAGGTGTTAAAGCTTCACATCCCCTTACACTGAGGAGTGCTGCTCAAGATGATCCTCTTCTGTTAGTTTTGCTGCCACAGTGGCAACCTCCAGCTGAGAGGAATTAACAAACAGCTTGGTAAGGCCAAAAGCAAAGGCTCCTATGTTAAACTGCCACATTATAGCCACACCGGGCCTAGGCTTCATCTCCAAGCAGGCATCATCATTACTTCTACGACATGGGAAAGAGCAAGTGCAAATCTGTCTGTGACAGTGAAACTTAGTCAAGATTCCCACAGGACACCACTTCTAGCACCCCACTGTTACAAAGCAGCTGTTTGGATCACTAGTTGTTATAAACAGAAGGAAAAAAAGCATCATAGAAATATGGTAACACTCACAGGAACACAGTGTGGAACAATAACATATCCATTTTTGAAGTTTAGGAGAAAGAGACCAAGCCAGAGAGTCACCTAATTAAAACATCTGTGTCTAATCAAGTATCTAAACCTGAGCTAGCTGACATGTGCTCCCTTTACTAGCAATGGAGATGTTGTCAGCTGAACCTCAGGAAAAATTCATCATACCCTAATGCAGATGGGCAAAATGGACTCAGATGAACTGTGCTCCAGAAGTGGCTACTTCATTTTCAATTGTGAGGGGAGTGTAGGATAAAAGGGTTTGGTTTAGATATGTAGAAGTTAAGTGAAATCCCACCCTACATGTATAATGACAAAATGAAGGACACAGAAACCAAAATAGAAAGGAAAAGCTAACTATATTAGAAAAGAAATCAGGAGCTCAGTAAAATTTATTAATATAATAGTAAAGTGAGGAACTATCCGCTGGAACTCAGCAGAATTATCCTTTACCTTATAATGTTGATTTGATTAAAAATATTTACATTTGCAAAGAGTTTGTCAGTCCTGGCAAGGTCTACAAAATTAATCCAAGTGCCAAGCTTGAAGGAAAACGATATGATAAAACAAAAATTGAGAAGTTAATCAAAACTTCCATAGTCCTCTCATTGTCTATTTTTAATTATTAGATTTCAGATGATTACAAGAAAGGATAAAATATGAGGTCAAATGACATTATTTTTCAACGTGTTGAAAGAGAAGGTAAATGGAAAACTATGGCTTCTCTATGCTGGTTTAAGCAAATACTCCCTTCTACATTTCTTGGTATGTACTGAAGTATAGGTATTGAGTTGTTTCACATGCTATAGTAAAAGCTTCACAGAATATGTCAATGTAATTTTTAGCTGCAACTGATGATAACTGAGTTCCATAAAACCATGAAAAGATATTAATGAATCATTTATGAAATTGATGTCAAACTGCAGCATGATAAATGTAACTTGCTGTGGGCAGTATTTAGAGCCAAAGACAGCTGGGGTTTTTTTTGTTGGATTTGATAAATATATACAAGTTTGTAAAAATGTACATTTTGTCCAGCTTACCACTGGTGACTCTCAGCACTCCTGGCATCCAGCTGAACAGCCTTTTCAGCTTTAATCTTTCCTGTAAACAAAATACAATATATTAAAGGATTTATTGTACTCTTCCACATTTCAGGCAACTCCCAAGAGCAAAGCAACCTGATACACTCTAGCTGCAAAGAAGAAATTGCCTCCTGTTCTTGTAAACATTTAGATGGACAATGTAACATCCAGGCTTTACATTATTTACATACCTACACACACACACACACACACACACACATATATATATATATAGTGCAATTTTAGTATTTTCTCTTAAAATCCAACTCAGATGCAGCTAAACCAGGGAAAGACTGAACTGGACTGCCAAATGAGGATGTGTTATCTCTAAGACAGAAGACCCTTAAAAGCAGGTTAGAGATGCACCTGTCAGAAGAACCAGCAAAGCTGTTTCCTGCCTTGGGCACAGGAATGAACTAGTTGAAGTTCCTTTCCAGCACAAAGACTTCCATTAAGTTCCACTTTTAACTGAATAAAGATGAAAATAGGTGATTTGATCAAACCCATGCTCCCAGTAAGAAGTTCAGATGAGATGTTTGCTGTTTGCAAAGTCTCAGCTGCAACCAATTAAGCCACACTGACATTTCTGTATTGCAAGTTAACTTCATAAAAACAAAGAACAGCATACACAGTCCTCCAACCCAGCAGAATGAAAAAAACCCCACGAAACCACTGCCAGCTCCCCCACAGTCACAATCCCTCTGCACCACTTCCAAAAACCAAGATGAAAAAGGCTGCCGCCACCCACCACTTCATGAGAATCAGCCAAACTAGGCTGGTTACTCAACACCTAAGACCCAATTTCATTCCATCATTCTTTATCTCTCCCTGTCTTTTGCTGTGCCATTATTTTTCACCAGCTGACGCTACATGTAGTCACTGGTAAAAGCAAAGGATCCAACAACGGAGTTTGCTGTCATATACTTAGTTTCTGTCATAATGCTCATTGCACTGCATGATTTCCATACAAAGAAGCCAAGCTGCTACTAAAGCAAAGACAGTATCAATTAAGTAACTAAGTGCAAGTCTTCATAAGTGCTTAGATGACAAAAGGATGGGACAAGGACCTTGGACAAGCTAAGGCTGGCTTTGAAATATGTAATGGCAGCACAAAGACATGGCACTGCCTTTAAGACTGACAAAAGGCAGCCAAAACTACTTAATCAGTGACGTTGCCGTGGCTACCAGAAAAATAGAAGTCGCTGACAGAAAAGTAGTCACAAAAGACAAAATAACCTGAAATTGAAATACACTTAGAAAACCTGAATCTGGTGCAGCAAAACAAAGAGAAGAAATGGAGAAACAAAGGAGAGAGAGAAGTATTCCCAGATACACGCAAAAAGGATTATTGTGAGAACAGTGTGTTGACTGGAGGAGAGTGACACAGGTAGAAAAGGTGTAGGGTTTATTGTAATAAAAAGAAGGCGGCCCAAACCAAAAAGGGACATGTAAACTATGCCTCTAGCCAATATGCCTCCAGACAGTGAAAGAAAGGGCAATGCTTCTAAAAGCAACAAAAAAAAAGTGCTGTGAAGAAGAAAATCAGAGTCTTGTTGAGGTTAAGCTGTCAAGCAGGACACATGGGGAAAGATGCCTGGAGGCAACACCAATCGTCACACGCAACTTCTGTTTCTGGTCAACAGTTTTTACAGATTCACTGTTTCATCCCCACCATCACCACAAAAAGGGTTGATGATATGCAGGAGTGCTCCTTTGCCACAGGAAAGCAGAAAAACAAACCTTGACTTTGCCTTGGCGTTCGTTTATTTCTCTCTCCCAAAGATGTAATTAAGAAACGGTGCTGACAGCATCTGTCTTTTTTCACATTCTGTATCCATCTGATTCTCAACAAAATACAGGATTTTAAGTCACCATCCAGAACCAACAGCCTTCAGTTATGACCCACAGTACTTCTCCTTCACTGATTTTGGATCTCTCCAGTGAAGGAAGAATGGACTGAAGTTGTATACTGTGGCAGTTTTATTACACAAACCGTTATTATTACACTACAAATGCTCCCATTTATTGAATTGGAAATTTCTTGGATTGGTAAACTTGAACAAAGTTCAAAGCATGTTTCACTACATTCAGATGGCATTCTACACAAATATTTTTCCTCTGCTTACCATCAGTAACATAGTTCCTCTTCTCTTCAGCATCAGTAGTCATCTCAAACAGATCTCCGTAAGCACGTGCAAGTCTCCAAAGAAAGTCCACACAGTTTTCATACTGAAAGTAGAGGACAGCTGGGTAATTAAACTGATCAGAATGCGATTTAAACAGTTTCCTTTCATAATGCTTAAAGCAGGTTATTGGAACATGGCATAAAATCTTTGGTTATTTTGCATCCTTCTATACTACTTTTAGTTTACGTGAGAACCAGATGACCATTTTTTCACAACCAAAGGAGAACACCGCTTTTGGAAATACCCTGGGCTGTCTAAAGAGGCTTTATTTCCAAAATCAATTTTAAAGTTCTTTTAATATAAAAAATAAAAAGGTAATCCAGTAGAGCACAACAGATCCCTGAATGATGTGGTGTGTATTTTCTTTAGGGATAAGTACCACACTCACTCACAATTAACATCTTCCTAGGTATTTCAATATGTAAATGTGTAAATATATAATCAGAACTAATGTTTGCCAAATCAGAAGAAACTGGTACACTGAATTAAGCACTGCACATCAAACCACTTTGAAATTTTATCTGGAGCTACGTATGTGCACAATAAAGTCAAAGGAAAAATTCACATGAAGTATATCAGAAAGGTATAAGTGGACTACAGGCTCATCATTTGATGTCTTGAGAACACTTGCTCTAATTACTACTTAATGCCACAGGACATCTGGCCATAGACCATTCTAAAACCAGCAAAAGTAAGTATCATTTACACAGAAAAAAGTTCAAGATCTTCCTTTGTTGCATGCAAGAATAAACACATCAAACAAAACCTCAAAGTTATTGAGTCTGGATGAGATATAAAATAATATAACTTCTATGCCCTCCCAACATGAATATTGACACTACCTTGAAATATTTCTTTTTCATTGTATTATAAAAACATGAATGAAACTTCATCTTCCATTCTTGTGTGCATTTTAGTGATTTTATTAAGGAAGTTCTCAAAAGCAGTGCAAAGCAGAATTTAGCAACGTAATATTAAGTTTACCCATTAATACCTTGTCATTTTTCTCAAGCAGCAGTCTGAAGCCTTCCTTTTTATCATCCTCTGAACCCTTGTGCAAATTGTCCACCTGCTGTAAAAGATTAAATAGCTCCTCTTCTTCTTCTGATTTCACATCAGGTGATTTCATACATCTCTTTTCTTCCTCTCCTTCAGAATCAGTATGAGCTGTAAGATAACTAAAATCACAGAAAATAATAACCACCTTTTCTAAAAATATTGGTAAAGTGTTGTTAAATTCAGATGCAAAAATTTCAGAACAGGATTTCGTCCAGTTATTCAACCTTAAAGGAGTTTTTCAAGTATCAAGCTTATTATTGGTATTATTATAAAACCTTTATCTTCAAAGGGACAGTACAATCACATTCCAAACATAACAGCAAAGTAACTACACTGTCCGGCTGCCTAATACTGCATTAAAAATGCAGATACATATTAGAAACACATGTATCCTTGTGTTTCAAATGCAGAACACTTTAAACCATTAAAGTGTATTAAGACATGCTCTGTAACCCTGAACAGGCCTCTTCAACTCTTTACCTCAAATTCCCTATTTTTTGAAATAAGAATGAGTTTACTAACCAGAACATAAGTGCTGTAAGAATCACTTATATAGTGTTTTCTTAAACACTTGTAAGATCTATATATAAGCAGTAACACCACTGTTATAAATTCCTTTACTTATTTCTTTTTAATGTTCTGAAGGTCAGTATACCTGAAGCTGGGAAAAGAGCTCATATTAATTCATTATGATTAATGGACAAGTACTCAGCACAATGCAGTCAAGGACAAAGAAATATTTACAAAAGCCATAAATACCATGCAGAGATAAGCAAGTGGCCTTACTGTCCAAAGTGAGCATATATTAGGGTGCTCCAACTTTGTATAGGAGCAGCTGAATGATATTGTGACCAGAACTAAACATGAGCAGATACTCTTACAGACTGTAAATGAACAAGTACAGCTGCTTATCAAGCTACTCAAGTGCTAGATGCGGCATGAGAGTTTTGCTGCAAAATTAATCTGGTAATATGGGAAATGGAAGTCAAAAATACATTTGGATAAAACAGTACATACAGAAATCATGTGTATGTGTTCAAACTAACAAACAACGTGGAACAGAGCAGAGGTAGGAAACTTCACAGATTCCTACAGATTTGTTTTACATAATCTTGATGTTGCTGAAGTTGATAACACATCGTATTGTATCCTTCAGAGACTTCATTTATAAGCCACTGAACATCCATTTTGGTTTTCTGAAGCATCTTTCAAACACAGTATCTTGTTCTTCCATAGTTATTTTGAAGTGGGTGAGAGCTACATCATACATAGGCTGTATTTCTAAGAGCACTAACTTGACCAAAAGTGCAAGGGATTTGGTGGGAGGGGGGCAGTCCTTTAGCTCCCATACATAACTCTATGATGTGAACTGTCTGGAAAGTACCTTTCCTCACATGGTCTGGATTCCACCATCTCCTCTGT